GGCTCTGAATCAGTTGGTAATGCCTGGCCTTGCTTCTGGGCCCCATAGCTATTGCATCCTAGTAAGGGTCTCTGGTCCTTTTTGCAGGATGGGACAAGGGAGTTCATGTTTTTTCACCCAGTTCCTCACTGGACACCTGCTCTTTGATAGTTATATACTCTGTTTTTGAAAGTTTGAACAAAGGATTCCTATGTTTTGTTTAATTTTCCTCACAATTGAAAGCAGGATGGGTATTTGTGGCCCACGCCTTTAATCCTAGCACTGGGGAGGCAGAGACAGGCAAATCTCTGAGTTTGATGCCAGGCTGGTCTACAGAGCAAGTTCTAGGACAGGTTCCTAAGCTACACAGAGAAACCCTGTCTGGAAAAGACAAAACAAAATATGGAAAACAATAAGTATCCAGAATATATGAACAAACAAAATTTATGTTTATGTAGGACATGAATCTGTCTGCCTATCTATATCTGTATCTATATATTTGTTTAAAAGAAGGTAAATTGGGGCTGGGGAGATAGCTTATTTAGTAAAGTGCCAGACATGCAACATGAGAACCTGGGTTTGGATCTCCCAAATTCATATAAAATACCAGGTGTGGTCATGCACATTTGTAACCCTAGTGTTTAGCAGGGGGGTGAAAGGTCAGGGGAATGGAGATAGGTCTCCACTTGGAGACCCTGCTTCAACTGGTAAGGTGGCAAGTGACAGTGGAAGACAGCTGACACCAGCCTCTGGTGTGTGCCCTGCATATATGTGTACACATGCACACTGTGCATACACACAGAGAGAGGTCACTTCATACATAATCACTGTCAACATTTTGAGATATAATCATCTGGATTTTTTTCCTTTTTGGTCCATATATTTATTTGCTTATCCTAAGTTTATCTTATAGAAATGAGATCATATATTCATCTGTTACATTATTGTTTTGCCTGTATGCCATAGAAGTCATATCCATAGCAACCTTTGTCTTTAGTTTGGCTGGGGAATATTTTCTTGTGTGAGTTGCGTTGACATAGTTGATGTAAACAGTTCTCTTTAATGGAAAGTCTAGTGGCATCCAGTGTTTTAATGTGATAATGTTGTGAGAAATGCCCTTGTATGCACATTCAGGGAAACCCCCCCATATCTGCCCTTCATGAAATTTTTAGTCAAGAATGTCTTCAAGTGACTCGTCCTTCTGTCTCCCTCCTGTGTTCTGGGATTACAGCTATGCATCATCGTGCCTGGGTGCCTCTTGTATATTTTTACATATAGAGCTATGGGTGAAAAGTTAAACAAAGGGGGAGGGGTAGAGTTAAACATAGGAGCTGGAGGAATGACTCAGCAGTTAAGAGCACAGGCTGCTTTTCTAGAGGACTCAGGTTCAATTCCCAGCACCCACATGGCAGCTTACAACCATATGTACCTCAAGTTGCAGGGGATCCAGTTCCCTCTTCTGACCCCCACAGACACCAGGCACATGTGATATACATACATGCAGGCAAAACACATACACACATAAAATAGTACTTAAGGTTGAATATACATTCACAGCATATTGTAGAGTATCTTCTAGGATATGGGACAGACTCAGTCTGCCAGCCTTGGCTGGCGGTATGCTATGTCCAACAACTGCAGGTGAAGATAATGATGGTGAGCCCGTTTCTTCCATCTCACTTCCCAGAATGCTATTCGTGTTGCACGGGATTTTGAGGGCTGCAGCGTCCTTCGAAAGTACCTTGGCCAGCTACACTACCTGCAGAGTCGGGTACCCATGGGCTCAGGCCAGGAGGCTGCTGTAGCTGTCACCTGGTGAGAGCTGGCAGGCTGGGCTGGGAAGTTGAGAACTTAGGTGCTTAGACATCGGGATGCCTGGGTGGTAGGCATGATCCTTTCCCTTCTCCTCTCCTTGCACAGGATGGGGAGTGTTAGTGTGAGCTCATAGACCCCTGTCTCATACTGGAATGGTTGGTCCCCTTCCCTGACCCTTGGGCCCAGGCCAGGTCCTACCCTCTAGATGACTGAGATGCATGTTTGCAGGACGGAGATCTTCTCTGGAAAGTCTGTGGCCCACGAAGACATCAAGTACGAGCAGTCCTGTATTCTCTATAACCTTGGTAAGCTGCTGGATCCTTGCATGGGCCTCACGCCAAGCCCTTCCAGCCTTGGGTCTCAGTTCATCAGATCAGATCAGACGGCCAAAAAGGCTATGGCTGAATGAAGGAAGTTGCCTGGGTTCTGATCCCTCTCCTGCCACAGCTACACTGGCCCTTCTGCTGTTTTCTGAGGCCCTGAGAATTCACTGTCTAAAGAGCTCCTCTGCTGGGCTAACAGGAAGTTGTCACTGCACTCCAGTAGGGAGTCATGGCCTTTCTTTGTCTGGATAGTGTCGCTTACTCCCCACCCCCCTATTAATGGCTTCAGATTGAGAAGCTAAGGCTGGCCTTAGATTGCCCTTCAAGTCATTGTGGCTTTTGGCTGAGGGGAAAGCATGGGGCTCCTCCCTCCGCTACCACTCAGCCAGGTGCATAACAGGGAAGGGATCTGGCTGCGTTTTTGTATTGCTCTTCCTTGGTTATCCTTGCACTGACTGCCCGGTTCTCGGCTCTGTTTTTCTGACTGGATGACTACAGGTGCTCCCCTGCCTCAGTCTCAGTACAGGTGTGGTGGCCTGGGAAGCATCCCCAGGCACCCCTAACAGAATGTCTCCTGCCTGTCTAGGTGCCTTGCACTCCATGCTGGGGGCTATGGACAAGCGGGTGTCTGAGGAGGTAAGGACTGGGAAGGGGGGCTGTGGAGAACACTGCACGTCCTCAGCTACCAGAGTCTGGAAGATTCCTGCCTTGTGGAAATGGCCATCTTTTCACCTCTTCCCGCAGGGCATGAAAGTCTCCTGCACCCACTTCCAGTGTGCAGCAGGTGCCTTTGCCTACTTGCGGGAGCACTTCCCACAGGCCTTCAGTGTAGACATGAGTCGCCAGATCCTCACTCTCAATGTCAACCTCATGCTGGTGAGCAGGGCTTGCCCCAATGCAGCCAAATTGTTTTTCTTTCTGTTCTGAGATGAGATCACATTTTGTAGCTCAGGCTGGTCTGGAACTTACTGTGTAGTCCAGGCTTGCTTCAGAATCATGGCCAATCCTCCTGCCTCAGTCTTTGTTGGTTAGTCATGAGCTGCCACCCTGACTTTAGTTTGAATTGGAGAAGAAATGGCTAAGGGAGGAGGCAGTTTCATCTAGGTCCTGGCCAGCCATGTTGCAGGCAGTGAGGGACAGGCCAGAAGGAGTAAATGAGGCACAGGGTGTGGTAACTTGGGAGCAGCCTAGAGGGGATATTTTGGTCTGTCCCTCGGCTCCCAACAAGCGAAGGACCTTCAGGTGAGCAGGGTGTTGGCTTGCACTTGTTGCTGCAGGGCCAGGCTCAGGAATGCCTGCTGGAGAAGTCCATGCTGGACAACCGGAAGAGCTTCCTAGTGGCCCGCATCAGTGCCCAGGTAGGAGCAGGGCTGCGGATGAGCATTTGCTTTGCTCTTGGCCCTTGATGACTGAACTCACCCTAATTCCTAGGTGGTAGACTACTACAAGGAGGCATGCCGGGCCTTAGAAAACCCTGATACCGCTTCCCTACTGGGCCGTATCCAGAAAGACTGGAAGAAGCTGGTCCAAATGAAGATATACTACTTTGCAGCTGTGGCTCATGTAAGGCGAGGGGTTACTGGTTGTGGACGAGATCAGGTGGCTATAGTTCAGGCGACAAGTCATGATGCCTCCTTTTCTTTCCCAGCTGCACATGGGGAAGCAGGCTGAGGAGCAACAGAAATTTGGGGAACGGGTGAGTGGGCTTTGGGTAAGGGGAACTCAGGATGTGTCCAGGCTTCTAAGATTCTGTCTTTACATCCCACTGAAGGTGGTCTCTCCACTTCACTCCTGTCCCCTCGTCTTCCTCACCCACACCATGTGCCAGCCATCGTAGCCCTGCTGTAGGCTTGCATCGTCCCGCCTTGTAGCCCTCATCCCTGGGGTCTCTTCTCAGGAGGCAGCATGGGCTCCCCACAGGGAGGATGGCTCTTTGGAGGTGTAAGTTACAGGGTGAAGCTATTCGGGGCTATTGACTTGGCTGGCATCCACTGTCTGAGCTGCTGGTCTTATGATCAGTGATCCAGTCATCAGGTAGGACAGAGTGGGGAGATAGAACACTAGGGTCCAAGCAGGATAGGACAGACCAGGCTTTGCCCTCCACAGGTGGCCTACTTCCAGAGTGCCCTGGACAAGCTTAATGAAGCTATCAAGTTGGCCAAGGTAAAGCTGAGCGAGTATGACTGCCTTTAAGGGCACGACGGCAGATGACAAGGCTAGCTGAGCTGACGGATCTCGACACTGGCCTTGGTTATCTTTTGTCTCCACAGGGCCAGCCGGACACTGTGCAAGATGCACTTCGATTTGCTATGGATGTCATTGGAGGAAAGTAAGTGCCCGGGACTGTGGTGGTCAGGTTCTTTCTTATTAAATATCCTGTTCCTCTGTACCCTTGGGAGGAAGCTAACAGTGTCAGAGAGCAGTAGCCTGCATGGGAATCTAGTTTGTGAAACCTTGATAATCTGTGATTTCTTGTCCCTGGTCCCCTCCTTGTTCCTGCCCCCACCCTGCTCCTGACTCCCAGGTATAATTCTGCCAAGAAGGATAATGACTTTATCTACCATGAGGCAGTGCCAGCACTGGATACCCTTCAGCCTGTGAAAGGTCTGACCGCTGAGGAGAGGGGGTTGGCAGAGGAAGGATGGAATTGGGAGGAAGCTGCCTTGAGTTTTCATATTGGCCTGATCTGTGATACTCCCTGCTCTTAGGAGCCCCCTTGGTGAAGCCCTTGCCAGTAAACCCCACAGACCCAGCTGTTACAGGTCCTGATATCTTCGCCAAATTGGTACCTATGGCTGCTCATGAGGCCTCATCACTGTACAGGTGTGTGGGAGGGACTGGTCCTTCCCTTGGCACAGAGTTCCTTGAGGTCCCTCGAGTATATAGGTTTCCAGCAACTGGTCTGTTTATTCTTAGCGAGGAGAAGGCCAAGCTACTTCGGGAAATGCTGGCCAAGATTGAAGACAAGAATGAGGTTCTAGAGTAAGTATGGGACAAGCGGTGGGAGGTAGGCTCACACCACATTCTCGCCTCCCGGCCCAGAGGCTAGATCTAGGTTGTGAGTGTTGATGTGCTGTGGAGGGTGTCTGTCAGTGTAGGCATGGCCTCCAGTCCACGTGGTAGAAGACAAGTCTTTAGTTTCAGCGGAGGGATCATGCAGGCAGGCAGGCTCTTCTGTGGAGAGAACTGGGTCAGAGCCCAGCATCTGTCTGATGCTGTCCTCACCCCGACCCTTCTCTAGTCAGTTCATGGACTCAATGCAGCTTGACCCTGAGACAGTGGACAACCTGGATGCCTACAACCATATCCCACCCCAGCTCATGGAGAAGTGTGCGGCGCTCAGTGTGCGGCCTGACACCGTTAAAAGCCTTGTCCAGTCTATGCAGGGTGAGCACGCATGTCATCTGCTGTGGCCTCCTCCACTGAGGCTGCTGCTGAAGCCCTGGCCCAGGCATGCACCATCCAAATGTTCCTGTGGGTCAGTGAGCCATGGCTTCCTGTGAGCGTGGAGTTTAACAAGGGCTGGGGAACAAGCTCTGATCCAAGTGGGCAGAGGGCAGAGTGGTGCCTGGTCTGCTTACCTCAGTGGCTACCCCCAATACACTTCAGTGCTGTCAGGAGTGTTCACGGATGTGGAGGCCTCCCTCAAGGACATCAGGGACCTGCTGGAGGAAGATGAGCTGCACGAGCAGAAATTGCAGGAGACCCTGGGCCAGGTTCTAGCTGCCCCTGGCGCCTCCGTGGCCAAGGCTGAGCTTGCAGAGGTGAGGCGAGAGTGGGCCAAGTACATGGGAGTTCATGAAAAGGCTTCCTTCACCAACAGTGAGCTGCACCGCGCTATGAATCTGCATGTCGGTAACCTGCGCCTGCTCAGTGGGCCTCTGGACCAGGTGCGGGCCGCCCTACCCACACCAGCCCTCACCCCAGGTGAGCCCTGCCCGTTGCTAGTGGGGGAGGCTGGGAGCTGGGGCTTCTTTGTCCTCACTGATGGCTGCTGCCCTCAGAGGACAAGGCTGTGCTGCAGAACCTGAAGCGCATCCTAGCCAAGGTGCAGGAGATGCGGGACCAGCGTGTGTCCCTGGAGCAGCAGCTGCGAGAGTTGATCCAGAAGGATGACATCACTGCCTCCCTGGTCACCACTGACCACTCAGAGATGAAGGTGGGTTGGGTGACCGTCCATCCAGAAAGGGCTCCGTTTTGGGCCTTCTTCCTTAATGTTTTTCTTCTGCCCCCATCTTCCCGCAGAAACTGTTTGAGGAGCAGCTGAAGAAGTATGACCAGCTGAAGGTGTACCTGGAGCAGAACCTGGCTGCCCAGGACAACGTGCTCCGGGCACTGACCGAGGCCAATGTGCAGTACGCAGCTGTGCGGCGGGTGCTGGGCGAAGTGGACCAAAAGTCAGTGCCGCCCTCGCTCCTCTCAGGCCCATCTGCAGCTCTTCCCGTAGCCTGCCTCATCCTGGCCTTTCTTTTGCCCACTAAGGTGGAATTCCACACTGCAGACCCTGGTGGCTTCGTGTGAAGCCTATGAGGACCTGATGAAGAAGTCCCAGGAGGGCAAGGACTTTTATGCAGACCTGGAGAGCAAGGTAGCCGCCCTGCTGGAACGGACACAGTCCCTGTGTCGTGCCCAAGAGGCCACCCGGCAGCAGCTCCTGGACAGGTGGGTGTGGGCTTTAGGCTTCATTAGGAACCCAGCCCAGGCCAGCCTGGTTTATGGGGACTGGTCTCACTTCCCTGCCTGTCCCTTAGGGAGCTGAAGAAGAAGGCACCACCACCTCGGCCCACAGCCCCCAAACCATCGCTCTCCCGCCGAGAGGAGGCTGAGGCGGTAGAGACTGGAGACCCCCCTGAGGAGCTGCGCAGCTTGCCCCCTGACATGGTGGTTGGCTCACGGCTGCCTGACCCGTTCCTAGGGTCCCCTGCCCCACTCCACTTTCCTCCCGGCCCCTTCCCCTATCTCTCAGGACCCTTGCCCCCTGGAACCTATTCAGGCCCCACTCAGCCGATGCAGCCTAGGGCTCCCGTGCCTATGGCACCTGGGACGGTCCTCTACCCAGCCCCCACCTACACATCGGAGTTGGGCCTTGTACCCAGATCCTCTCCCCAGCATGGCGTTGTGAGTAGTCCCTATGTGGGGGTGGGGCCCCCGCCACCAGTTGTGGGTCTTCCCTCCGCCCCGCCTCCCCAGTTCGCAGGGCCTGAGTTGGCCATGGCAGTTCGGCCAGCTACCACCACGGTAGACAGTGTGCAGGCCCCTATCTCTAGCCATACGGCACCACGGCCGAACCGTGCCCCAGCTCCCCCCCCAGCCCTGCTTTCCAGTGCCTCAACCTGTTCCCCAAGCGCAGCCTCTGCCCGCGCCCTACACGTTTTCTCTGGGGACCAAGCAGCACGTCACAGGCCCTCCACCACAGCACCACTTCCCTCCTGGGGTCCCAGCAGGCTTCCCAGCCCCCAGGATCGGGCTCCAAGCTCAGCCCCAACCCCAACCCCAACCCCCACAACCAGCATTTGGACCACAGCCCCCACCGCAGCCCCTTCCATTCCAGCCTACACATCTCTTCCCTTCTCAGGCCCCAGGGATTATCCCCCCTCCCCCACCTCCCTACCCCTTTACCCCTCAGCCTAGTGGCCTGGGGCAGCCACTACCTGCCCTGCACAGCCAGCTCTATCCAGGCTCATCTCAAGACCCTCTTCCCCCACACTCAGGGGCTCTGCCTTTCCCTAGTGCTGGGCCTCCTCATCCTCATCCTACCCTGGCATATGGCCCGGCCCCTTCCCCTAGGCCCCTGGGTCCTCAGGCAACCCCTGTTTCTATTCGAGGCCCCCCCACCAGCCAGTCAGCCCACCCCTAGTCCCCACTTGGTGCCTTCACCTGCCCCATCGCCAGCGCCTGGCCCCGTACCTTCAAGGCCTCCAACAGCAGAGCCACCGCCGTGTTTGCGCCGAGGTGCTGCAGCTGCAGACCTGCTGTCTTCTAGCCCCGAGAGCCAGCACGGAGGCACTCAGCCTCCTGGGGGTGGGCAGCCCCTGCTGCAGCCTACCAAGGTAGATGCAGCTGAGGGCCGTCGGCCACAGGCCCTGCGGCTGATTGAGCAAGACCCCTATGAACATCCTGAGAGGCTGCAGCAGTTGCAGCAGGAGCTGGAGACCTTTCGGGGACAGCTGGGGGATGCAGGAGCACTGGATATAATCTGGAGAGAGTTGCAAGAGGCACAGGAACATGATGCCCGGGGTCGATCCATTGCTATTGCCCGCTGCTACTCACTGAAGAACCGGCACCAGGATGTTATGCCCTATGACAGCAACCGTGTGGTGTTGCGCTCAGGCAAAGATGACTACATCAATGCTAGCTGTGTCGAGGGGCTCTCGCCGTACTGCCCACCCTTAGTGGCCACCCAGGCCCCACTGCCTGGCACAGCTGCTGATTTCTGGCTCATGGTACACGAACAGAAAGTGTCAGTCATTGTCATGTTGGTGTCTGAGGCTGAAATGGAAAAGGTAAGCGCCTGGATGGGTATCCAGGAGGGGACAGTGGAGTATGGAGGGCAGGAGTCTGGGCAAGCTAGCCTTAACTGTCTTGTCTGCTCTTCAGCAAAAGGTGGCACGCTACTTCCCCACCGAGAGGGGCCAGCCCATGGTGCATGGAGCCCTGAGCGTGGCACTGAGCAGTGTTCGCACTACCGAGACCCACGTGGAGCGAGTGCTGAGCCTGCAGTTCCGAGACCAGAGCCTCAAGCGCTCCCTTGTGCACCTCCATTTCCCTACATGGCCCGAGTTGTGCGTTCACTGCTGTGGGTGGTGGGTCAGGGCAGACTCCGTGGGCTTTGGGGCGAAGGCGTCACGTCAGGCCTGGTTCCTACCCGCCCTTTCCCTGCAGAGGCCTGCCCGACAGCCCTGGCAACCTGCTGCGCTTCATCCAGGAGGTGCATGCACACTACCTGCACCAGCGGCCTCTGCACACACCTGTGGTCGTTCACTGCAGGTAGGGAGCGCAGCACCTGAGGGAGGCAGGCTCCACTGTGGGCTCTCACCTGGCCTCACACTTCTTCTCGCCACAGCTCTGGTGTGGGCCGCACAGGAGCCTTTGCACTGCTGTATGCAGCGGTGCAGGAGGTGGAGGCTGGGAATGGGGTTCCTGAGCTGCCTCAGCTGGTGAGGCGGATGCGGCAGCAGAGAAAACACATGCTGCAGGAAAAAGTGAGTGGTGGGCAGGGTTGAGCTGGGTCTTGCCCTTGTTGAGGATCGTCCTGCCCATCTGATTAGACCAAATGTGTCTTTCTAGCTGCACCTCAGGTTCTGCCATGAGGCACTGGTGAGGCATGTGGAGCAGGTTCTGCAGCGCCATGGTGTGCCCCCTCCAGGAAAGCCCGTGGCCAGCGTCAGTCAGAAGGTGAGGACAATTCTTTGAGGGCTCTACTAGGACGGTCAAAACCTGGTGAAATTGTCTTATTAGCTCTACCTTCTCAGAATCACCTGCCTCAGGACTCACAGGATCTGGTCCTTGGTGGAGATGTACCCATCAGTTCCATCCAGGCTACCATCGCCAAGCTCAGCATCCGGCCCCTAGGTGGCTTGGATCCCCCAGCTGCCAGCCTTCCAGGCCTTGTAGAACCCCCAGGCCTTCCGCCAGCCAGCCTTCCAGAGCCCACCCCTGTTCCATCCTCCTCACCTCCCCCCCTCTCTTCACCTCTGCCTGAAGCCCCACAGCCAGAGGAGGAGCCACCAGTGCCGGAAGCCCCCAGCTTAGGGCCCCCCTCCTCCTCCCTGGAGCTGCTGGCCTCTCTGACTCCAGAGGCGTTTTCACTGGACAGCTCCTTGCGGGGGAAGCAGCGGATGAGTAAGCAGAACTTTCTACAGGCCCATAACGGACAGGGTCTGAGGGCTGCCCAGCCTACAGACGACCCCCTGAGCCTCCTGGATCCACTCTGGACACTTAACAAGACCTGAACAGGCTTTGCCTCCCTGGCCCTTACACTACATCTTCCATCCTGGCTGTGCCCGCTCTGCCAGGTGGGGCTGCACTGCTCCTTTGTGGTACCTGATAGTTCTTAGCTCTGGGTCACTGAAATAATAAACCTAGCGTGGCCAAAGTCTGAGTTCGTCCATGCTGCCTCAGGAGTGCCAGACAATCACATTTCTTGAAGGGTCTGTGAGTAGAGTGGATTAACACAAGCAGCTCAGGCTTCAGGGTAAAATGTGGTTTTTAAAAAAGTTTAATATTACAGTCAGGAGACAACAGTTCAGAGGCAGCTGCAAAGAAGATGTCTAGGTCCAAAGACTTGCTGCCCCCAGTGCCCCAATTGGGTGGGTTGTATAGTCGACCTGCCCTCAGTCCAGTTTCTCCAGCACAGAGGGCACATACACTAGGCTGAGCTCACTGCCAAAGTTGCAGACAATGGCAGCATTGTCCAGTACCAGAATCTGCCGGGCAGGCTGGGCCTCACTGTTCTTGCCCAAGTAGACTGTCTGTAACAGGTCCCCGTAGTTTAGGTCCCAAAAGGAGACACAGCCCTGGCCGCCAGTCACCAGAAGGTTGTCTGAGATGACACCTAGGCTTGCACCACAGCCCAGATCCTGGAGGCAAGACCAGAGGGTCTTCAGTGTGAGTTCATCCCCAAACACCAGCCACCCTCCACTCTACCTGCTTACCTGCTGAATGGAGTAAAGCTTGATGCCTGTGCTGCGGTCCCAGATATTAATGAGGTCATCCAAACCACTACTAATGACACAGGAAGTGGTACAGGTAAGGGAGGTGACATCTCCACGGTGAGCAAATGTATGACTGACCCGGCTACCTGTTAGTACATCCCATAGGCAGATGGCTCCATCTTGTCCTCCACTGGCCAGTACCATGGTCTGGGGAAAGAAGCCCAGGGAAACCGCATCACAGGCAGATCACGGGTGGAGTGCTTTCGTCAACAAGGGCCAGACGGAGTTGGATTACCTTACCCCACAACAGGTCCCTCACCTGATCAATGTACACGGTTGTGATTGCCCCTGAGTGGCCCTGCAGGGTAAAAAGGCAGCACGAGTCCTCCAGTCGGAAGACCTAGGACAGGGAGAAGTAGTAGGCTTTGGTCTCTGGAGCCTTTCAAGTTTTTAGCTAGGAAATGCCTTCCATCATTCCTCCTAGGACTCCTCCAGCTTAACCTGTTTCCCACCCCTTTCCAGCTCACAAGTGCCCAGAGATAAACAATACACACTCTGAGAGTATGGTCTTGGCTCCCTGTCACCAGGCGCCCGGCAGCAGCTCTCAGCGCTGTAATAGGTTTTTGGTGTGCACAGGGCACTGTGTGGGTCAGATGACAGGCCACTGTGTTGCTGCTGTACACAGATGAGGAAGGAGAACTGCCTCGTCCTGGGGTCCCTAAGGAGGACAGGTTCAGTGAGTAGCACCCCCATCACCATGTATAATGCCTGTCCCATCCGCCCCCCACTGACCTGTGAACTGCAGGGGGCTGAGGGAAGTGTGAGTCTCCAGGGAAAAGAAATCAAGGGAACCATTAAGCCGAGCAGCTACAATCCTAGAAGAGAAAGACAGGAAAGACCATGGCCACTAGGAATACACAAAGCGCTGTAAGAAAGATGCTGGGGGTGGCAGCTACAGCTCGGCCTCTATAGCCCTTGTCATTGTAAAATGGGGTTAACAGTCCCCACCTCAGGGGTTGTAAAGGTTAAGTGTCATACACACCTGTAAATCAATACAAAAACAAGCTGGAGAGATGAGTCTGCTCTTGCAGAGAACCCAGGTTCAGTTCCCAGCACCGATATGGTAGCTCATGGAACTCCAGGGACTCTGATGCCCTCTCCTGACCTCCACAGGCACCAGTCACATGGTGTACATTCATACAAGAAAACACCAAGGAAATCTAAGAGGTTTTTTTGGGTCAGGCAGTGGTGGCCCACACCTTTAGTCCCATCATTCAGGAGGCAGAGGCAGGTGGATAAGAGTTCCAGGTCAACACATCTAACAAATGAGGAGTTCCCCTGTAGCCTGGAGCTTAAGACTCCATTCTGAGGAAAAGGACCCAGGGTGCGCATGTGCCATGGAGCCCCCATAGGGGCTGCAATCTCATAAATCAACTTTGACCCAAGTATCAGTCTGTTTCCTTCAACCACAAAAGGATCTTCTTTGTTCTCAATCCTTGGGCACAGGCTGCAGGCATATTTGCCAGTGGCTCGTACAATCACAGATCAGGTGGGGTTGTGAAATCTCGTCCCAGCAAAAGGCAGTGCATATTACAACTTTTGCCCATGACCACCAAAAACAGCTCATGGGAATCCATGATGAGTAGGGAGGGAGTTGGTCACCAGGGACTTTAAAGGTAAGAGACATGTGAGCTCTTCCGAAAGCTAGAGAACAAGCGTGAAGGACCCAATAGTTGGCCAGGCTGTGAGGAACATGAAGTAAAGGCCTGTTCAAGTTCCAGTGATGGCAGCAGTCAAAATGGAGGCCAGAGTTCCACTGGCACCGCCCCCCTCCCCCACAGACACATGCATGCAGCCAAATACCCTTTTCAAAACAAAATGCCCTGAACATGTTCAAAAAAATAAAGTACCCAAATGAGGCCTTGTTTCAAATACAAAAAAAAAAGTTCTGCAAACACATTTTCTGCCGCTGAAAACGAGAGGGAAATATCCAGGTCAGTATTCACGATCCAGTATGAGAAGCTGACTTAGGGCACCGAGAATTTAGCATGTGCCTGGCCCTGCTGCAAACACTTGACAGTTTTAAGGTGGTCACCACCTGACCCACCCTCAACTGAGTACTAGAGGCTGAGTGGAAACAGGTCAGATGCCTCAGCCAGTGAAGGAAGAGGCCTCAAGCCTCAGCACAGAGTGGCCTGACCCTGACAGATGGGGCCAAGGCCAGCGGCCGGGACTCTCACCTCCTGTCCAGGAAGACAAGGGCTGTGATGCCTGAGGACACCTCCTCGTTGCTGCAGCAGAGCACCCCCTCAATGGCGTCCCACACCTGCGAGCGCAGAGGCTGTGAGCACCCACTCCTCGTGGGAACCCCCCAGCTAGATGTGAGCAGCCCCTCGGCCCACCTCCAGCCGGCCGCTGCTCCGCCCAACCACGATGAGGTTGCCTTGCAGCTCCAAGCTCCAGATAGAGCCGGCTGTGCTGGGAGCCCAGGCCAGAGGAGGGGAGCCCTTCTCCGGTGCAGCCCCCTCTTCTTGAGAAGCCTGGGGCAGCGGGGATCCTGGAGAGGGCGGGCGCAGGGCCGGCATGCGCACAGCAGCCAGGCCCTCCTCCTGGTACACGCGCTGCACCAGACGGCTGAAGTCATAGCCAGAGTCCCTAGAGCGGCCACAGCCCGCCCGGTGCCGAGGCTCGGGCTGAGCGGGCTCTGGGGGCAGCTGCACCGAGAAGTTGGTGTCGATCAAGCAGGTGAGGTCTGGCTGGTCCCCGAAGAGGGAAGGCTGTGGAGGCCCTCGGGGACGGTGTCGCAGTGGAGGGCTGTCCCCAGGGTCCTCCGGGCTAGCTTTGCCGCCATCCGACAGCCTCTCCCAGTTCTCCTGAGTTTCAAAAGCTCCGCCTCCGCAGCTGTCCCGGCGTGACCTGCCAGGGTGGAGGAGCCAGAGTGAGCTGGGGGAGGGGCCCACGAGAGCAGGCAAGGGGCAGGGCCAACCCGAGCTCACCCTGGGCGCGGGATGCGCGTCAGGCAGTCCCCGGTCTGGGCGTCCCACACGCAGACTTGGCCTGCCAAGCAGCAGCTCACCAGCAGCATCCCATCGCTAGACAGACACTCGATGTCCTGCACGAGGGCGCTGTGTTGGCACGGGCCAAGGCCGCGATGGCCTGCTGTCCGCGGAACCCCGCCCCACTCACCATGAGGTGCCCTCGCAGCACCAGCGGCACGATCTCCGTCTCAGGCGGCGCGTAGCCGTAGTCATCGCAGGGCAGCTCTCCGCGCCTCCGCCTGCCCGGACCGCCACCCGGCTGCCCGTAGTTCCGCGGGCACAGCACCCGGTAGAGGCAGAGCAGCAGCAGCACAAGGACGATGCCCGCTGCCAGGCCAAGTGCGGCCACCCTGCGCAGACCGCGAAAGTGTGAGCAGGCGCACCCCGACACTGGCTTCACTCTCACCTACGTCTTGCCTCACCGGGGCCTTACTTGTACAAGGTAACGTCGCCGTGGGCTGGCGTTCCACCTGGCCCCTTAGGTCCGCCCTCCCAGAGGCCTGCAGGCAAAGACTCGGGTGGGGTCCAGGCACTGCGACCATCCTGAGGGTGACGTCCCTCCAGGGCCTCCCGTGGATTCAGACGCAGTGTGACAGGTATGACAGGCAGTAGGCTGATGTACCTGTAGGCAGGCAGTGAGGCCCTGGCTGAGCAGGGATGCCCTCCTCCCGTAGTCTTCTCTCTGCCTGCTGCCTCTCCCCACCAGCCCTGGCATCCAAATCTTGCTATTTTCCAACACTAGCTAGCACCCTAGCAGCCATCAATGGACCTCATTCTGCCAAGGGAAGAGGGGCAAGCAATCTCTAACTCCCAAGAACAAGGACTTCAGGGTGGCGCTCCCAGGTGTGTCTGCTGGGAACGCCACCGGCTCCTGTATCATTGCCCCATGAATTGTTTTCAACTACTTCAAATTCAGTGCAGAACTCAGACTCGTTTTCTCACCTAGTGGAGAGGAGATGCTCGGGGATGGTGAGCTCATACCAAGAGAGGTTGACAGTTGGCACTGCTCAGCTTACCTTTTGGCCAGTGTGATGTTGTAGTAGTTGAAGAGCGTGGGCCAGTGGCGGAAGGACAGTTTCCTCCACAGCTCTTCATCCTCAGGCCCCCAAGTTACCTCTGGGGCTCGGCTGTCATGGACACCCTCTGCAGGAACAGCATGCTCAGGCAGCTCACCTGGCAACGTCTGGTTCTCTGGCACTTTAGGAGCGTCGGGTGGGAAGATGGAGAAGGCAGGGTCCGGGCGGCTGGCGGGCAGCACTCCGCTAGGCACAGGCATGGGGCCCAGGGAACCCTCACCCAGTGGGCTCTGTTCTGTCACCTGGGCAGCGAGGTAGGTACGCAGCCCTGCTGGGTCTGTGTATACCAGGATGCCAATCCAAACAACGGTACCAGCCTGCAGTGGGGTGGCAGGTGCTCAGTAGGGCCTTGCAGGCTTTGAGCAGCCCCAGGCCCCAAGCAATCTTTGCCCTCACACTGGACGTCTCACTGGATGTGCAGGCAGGGCGTGACCGCAATCTGTGCTGACAACTGCCACTAGAGCCTGGCTCCCGTCCCGTGGCTAAGGAGTGGGTTTCCAAAGCTACAAACCACTGGGACTGCTTTAGTTTCACAGAGCTTCCCCACCCCCCACCCCAGCTGGAAACCTTCCCCAGGGCCTCGCTGTTACCCACTCCCCTCAGCTGCTGAGGAAAGACGCAGACAGCCAGCAGCCAGCACGCTCCACTATTCTCTGCTGCTCACACGCTACATGGAGTCTGATTAGCCACAACTCAGAAAACATGGACCATGCACAGTGGCTTCATCCTAGGCAATTCCCATGCTCAGGAAGCAAGGCCTTCAAGGGCCACCCCTGGGATTTGAGCAGGAGTGATGGGTACCATGATGAGGCGCTGTGCCAGGCGAGTACGGGCCAGGAAGTAGATGACACGCAGTCTTTTGGGGAGCCGCAAGTTTCGGAAGGAAGATGGCTGCAGTGTGATGGTATGCGGCATGGACGGCCGCACAGCCAGCTGTCTCTCATAGCGTGCTGGCCTTCCCACAGGCTTAGCTGAGGGCAGGCAGGATTCAGGGGGCAGACGCTTGTTCAGGTCGGCTAGCTGTTGGGAGCACAGTGATCAGGCCCAAGTGATTTAGGGCTGCCTGCATGGGAGTGCTCCCTCCCATGTCTGAGGAGTGGGCAGGCTCAGCACTCGCCTCCATTCGCCGAATGTCGATGGACAGGACCGTGGTGAAGAACAGCATCTGGAGGAAGAAGTCGGACACCAGGCCCACAACAGCGAAGAGGCAGAACTCCTGGAACAGAACACACTGGCTACACGTCTGCAAGCCTGGAGAGCAGATCCCTCAGGGTTAGCAGAGCACAGCAAAGACAAAGGAAAATAGTCTTCAGCTACGGATCTGGAGACTGAGGATCAGGCTAGCAGCTCACTAGGGGGCAGCACAGAGCCTGCTTACTTTTTTCAGGAAATCTAGTCCCTTGATTTCCTGAAAATCTGATCCAACCCAGAAAATTTTAAGTCCAAAGAGCCCTTCTCGGGGCTGGAGAGGTGGCTCAGAGGTTAAGAGCAATGGCTGCTCTTCCAGAGGACCAAGTTCAATTCCCAGCACCCACATGGTGGCTCACAACCATCTATAATGAGATCTGGGCAAAGAGGTGATCTGCATCCAGGCCTAGTTAAGGGGCAGAACTTGCTGAGAATTAGGTTTTCTTCCCTTGGCCTTGTTTGAGACCTGAGGCACAGCAACATGGATTTTATTAAAAGCTGGGGTGAGATGACAGGGCACACACACCCCAGCCGGCTGCCTTGGGTAAGCCTTGGGGACTTACCTGGATAGCGGGCACTAGGGTGAAGTAGCCGATGAGGATGATGCCCAGTTCAGTTGCCATGTTCTTCATAATGGACCAGCTCTCACTGCTTAAGCCTGCAGAGGGAAACCCAGAGCATGGGTCAGTGAGGACCGACCTGTTTTATGTGTGCACCTGACCTTGCAGTCCTCAGGACAGCATGAAGAAGGGGTCCAGCCTCTGGGCAGACTCCAGGAGTCGCCACCATCACAGTTGCCTCAGAGGAAAGGTGGGGTGCAGCAGAGTGCTCTGGCCATCAAAATAAAGGGGAACCAGGGCGACGAGATGAGGAAACCCGGGAAAAAAGCCCAGTGCCACCCACTGCAGCCAGAGCCATGGAGGAATTAACTGGCTCTTCCTCATGCTGCGCCCAGGGCCATGCCACCACACTGTCTTATGAACAAGTGTCTGCATTTACAGTGTGTATGGTCTCACAAGAGACTTTGTTCATCTCTCCATAACCTCATACCCTGTACAGGATGGAACAAGCTCAACAGAGGCTGGTGGGTTGAATGAACACCAGTTTCTGTTCACAGAAATGGGCACAGGATAAAATGCCTCAAGAGATCGACCTCCTTTTAGTAGGGCATGGTGGTTCACACCTTTAATCCCAGCACTCAAGAGGCTGGGGTAGGAGGATCTCTATGAGTCTGAGGTCAGCCAGCGCTACACAGTAAGACTCTGACGGGCTGGGTGGGGGGCTGCTACTGGCTGCCTAGCTTTCTTACTGGCATATAAGCCCTCATGCCTGTGCGGCGTGTACTTTACTTTCTGAGCCATCACCACAGCCCTAAAAGGTTGACTTTGAGGGCTCCTTATCTCCTTGGGCATAAATTCAGGTGAACAGGCAATCGCCCCAGCGTTACCTTGTGCAATCCGAAGCTTCACCTCGAGGTCCACTGGGGTTGATACAACTGACTTGGTGAGCACCAACACGTTCTCTAACCCAATAACCACCACCAGGTATGGGAAAATCTCACTGGGGACAGAGGAAGAGACAGGAAGGGTTGGTTCTTAGCAGGCATGAGCCCTGGAAGGCTGTGGGGCTTCCAGCCTACAGTACAGGCGGCCAAGTGGGTCCTGCAGCACAGGGCAGTAGCTCTAATATACCTCCATCCAACAGGATTCTTGTCAACAAAGCTTTGCCAAGGGGCCAGCTACCATCCCTGTCTCTTCTGCCCAGTGGAGAAGGGAGACTGGAAGAGGCCCCTGGAGAACATCACTGTCCCCACTGCCAGATCACAGCTTTCCTAACCCTCCCATACTAGACTCCAATGGCTGATGGAACCACCATTTCTAGGACCCTACACCAGTTACTCCAGGCCAAGATACTGAACTAAATGGGAGGGATGACCCTAGCCTTAACCCCTAACCTTTGCTGAGACGCTGTGTCTGGAGAAATGTAACTGCTCGCATAGAGTATCTGGCTGCTGGCTGCGCCTCACCCATGTAAGGGAAGCTCTCAAAGTGGCTCAGAAAAGGAAGCAGGCAGTCCAGGACAAGGAACAAACAGCGATACAAAGTCGCTTTTCTGTGCAGCTGTAGACGAGTGTCCTAGGCCTTGGGTCTGATATCTAGCACTGGGAAGAAAGCAGTTTTCACTAAGACTGCCTGAGCAGCCAAGGTCGTGGGAAGGCCAGCCAGTGGGTTGGTAATCACCAGACAGGCAAGGCCAGCCAGAGGCCAAAGCCTGAAGACAAACGTAGTGGAGGGCTCTGGCCTAAGATTTTCAGAGGAATGAGGGGAAAATAACATCAGTGAAGAAGATAAACGCTCTGTCCTCATACACTGATAACAGACTCACACTCACTCTGACTGGGCACTTAAATCTTTAAGAGGAAAATCCTTCATTTATGTATGTATGTATGTATGCATGAATGCACACTCACTCTCCTATGATGCAGATTCTAGGGATTGAACTCAGGTAGTCAGGCTTGGCGGGAAGTGCCTTACTCACGGAGCCACCAACCCTCTTTCAATAGTGAAGACGACACATATACATCAGTATCCCACACTCCCTGGGCACAAGCCACTAGAAAGCAGTGTGAGGCTGGAGAGATGGCTCAGAGGTTAAGAGCACTGGCTGCTCTTCCAGAGGTCCTGAGTTCAATTCCCAGCAACCACATGGTGGCTCACAACCATCTGTAATGAGATCTGATCTGGTGCCCTCTTCTGACCTGTAGGTGTACATGGAAGGAGAGTGTTGTATACATAATAAATAAATAAAATCTTAAAAAAAAAAAAGCCAGGCGTTGGTGGCGGATGCCTTTAATCCCAGCACTTGGGAGGCAGAGGCAGGAGGATCTCTGTGAGTTCAAAGCCAGTCTGGTCTACAGATCGAGTTCCAGGACAGCCTCCAAAACAATACAGAGAAACCCTGTCTCGAAATACCAACAAAACAAAAACCCAAAACCAAAAAATAAAAGCAATGTGTATATGGATTTAAAATCTAAACATCAATATCTATATATACACAGATACCATATAAACAAACACATATTCTTTATAAGAACACACAATGTATGTGTATACATACATGCGCACAACCACGTTTTCTATATTCATAGATGTGCCATATACATCACACATGCTTACAGAGGAACATGCACCTCTTCAATGTCATAAATAATAAGGCAAAGACATGGGGCAACAACAAACATCTAATGCAACGGTCACCAGGGGTCACATCAGGCCCAGATGTGCAAGGGGCCTGACGGCTCACTGGCCCTGTGAGACCTACCCTCCATTGAGTGTGGGTGTCAGGCCAAAGAGAGTGCAGAGCCCCACAGACATGAGCAGAGAGCTAAGCACTGTGACCACGGCTGCCAGGGCGAGTCCCCACTTAGACTTGACCATGTCGATCTTGCCTATAGAAGAGAGGGCACATCAGGGCGGTACCTCCCCCAGCCCCTGGAACCCTCCTTAACTGAGCTCCTGGGAGTGGATATGCAGACAATCAAGGAAGAGAAGGCTCCTGTTGTAACCAGAAGAAAATGACAAATACAGACACTTCTGGTCTCATGAACATAGCTCTTTTGGGAGCTCTAACCCACAGTGTCTTTTCCTCAGAAGCCCCTGAGACTCTATGGGATGAAGCCCTGGTTTAGTGACCACCAGAGAGATTCTCCATCTCGGCTCCAAGCCGTCTCTAACAGCAGAAGTGGGTGCCATGGAAAAGGAGACCTACGTGTGGAAAAGTAGATGTAGGCAAACAGGATGATGTAGGTGGTCACGAGAGGGATGAGCTCTGCAATACCAATCTCCTCTTTGAAGTGCACGTGGACCAGGTTCTCGGCCCGCAGGCTGCAGTTGGGGCTGGGGTGCAGGAGCATGAGCCGGGCGCGTAGGCTGCTCAGAAACCTGTAACGTAAAAGTCCCTAGAGGGGCCCAGCAGGGTCTCCCCTTCCCATTTGTTGAAGGAAAGCTTCTCTGTGGTTTCTCTAGTGTCCACAGACACCAAAGATTGGTAAAGCTGGCAGACCTCCTGTCCTGACGTATCACACAACCCCAGGTGCCAAAGGCTCAGAAGAGCCAGTCAGAGGCACCTCAAGTACCCTTGCCGACTGGAGAGCTGTGCAGTGGTTCAGACAAGACACAGGCTGCACGGAGCTCATCAGTCAGCTGAGACACTGCTCAGGGCTTAGGAAGAAACCAGAGGAAACACCAGGTCACAGAAATTGTCAGAGCTGCCTCAGGTCCCTTGTTCTTAGTCAGGCCTGAGGACCATCCTCATTCAAATGATCAGATCTAGTTCTTTGAGTAAAGGACACAAACATTTAAATAGGAGGCCTGGAGCCATGTTGGTCAGAGAAGCAACCACTCAAGCTAAGTACCACAGAGCGGTGGGGAGCCTGAGCACCTTACTTGGCATGGTAGTGCTGGAAGACCAGGGTGATGGTGTAAGAGACCATCCTCTTCCTTGTGTAGAGGCTCACCCCACTGTACTTCCCAGGGACACCAAACAGCAAGTCTGTGGGCAGAAACCAGCAAGACATAGGAATAACAACAGTCATGGGGACGGGCTGGTAGCAGAGCTACCCTTCCCTGCAGTTACTCTTAGAAACCAGGGGTGGCTCCTGACAGACTAGAGCACCCACTGAAGGAGAGAGGCGACCACACACAGGCTCTCTCCAGCCCGAGTGCTGAGGGTACCTTTGAGTGTGGCTGATGTCTGCAGAGTTTTGGGCTCATGCTGATGGATGGTCCCAATGATGTCAGGGTCGGCATGGAATCGCTCCCAGTCATTCTGCCAGAAGTTCCCAGGGGACAGCAGCAGGCAGCCATGTTCAGGAAGTAGGTTCCGGAGTTTCCTGAGTCCTGGCAGCAAGTCTGTCACCTGAAGGCAAACTTCCTCCAGGCTCTTGGTCCCCGAGCTAAGCAGAAGATGGAGGAAGCCTCTGCTGTTTCTGCCACCACAGGGCCAACCCACTGCACTTACGGGCACCACCTGTCATCAGGCTCCTCGATGCCTTATTTCCCTGGGGTCACAGTAGAGCCTGATGCCTAGGGAAATGGGAAATGCTTCCAAGTGCTCAACGTGTCCATGCACCTGTCCAGCCCCTAGAATGCACTGGAGCCCTAAAGCCCATCTCTTTCCAGGAAAGGCAAGTATGTAAGAGCCCGCATACGCCCCCACCAAGCACCTCTGCCAGTTTTAGAGGACAATAGGAGAGGAAGAAACTTTAGGGTTTTAGGTCACCCAAATTCTTGTCGAAACCTGATGGTGACAGTCTGCTAAGCCAACATGTTCCAGAAGGTACCCCGAGGTAGACCGTGCTAATCTCAGCTGTTTCTCAGTTACCTCCCTGCAGTTAGGCCCATTCACACTCCCTGTGTGCTGTGAGGACAGTCACAGAGAGACCATGAGGATCCTGAGAACTGCAGAGCTGACTGGACTGTAGTAGTTAAGACCGAGGATTGTAACTCCCTTTAGTACTCACGAGTCTGAGGCCCCTGAGAGGAGTACCTGTCTCTCAGCACGTGGTTCCGGATTTCCTCCACCAGTTGGAATGCCCGGGACAGAGGTGATCGGAACACATCTACTGCCAGAAGGTTTTTGTGCCAGGGAGACACAGATGACTTCACAAATATCTGTTGGATATACGCCACTGGGGCCCCCACGTACTGTAGAAGAGATAGGACAGGGTAGTAAGGAAGCATGGGTCCATACTCAGTAAGAGATCATTGAGCATGCACTAATGGGAAATGTACTAATGGACCAGGTATCAGGAAAACATCGCTTCCACAAGCCAAAGCAAAGCCCAGGTTCATTTTCTGTCATTTCCTGGAATAAAGGTATGCTGAAAACACCCCAATCATCCTCAGCTATATCTACCCTATTACAACAGAGCTGTGTGTCTGCAACAGATAGCTGGATGACCATACTACCCCTCTAAATCATTTACTGTCTAGCTCTTTACAGAGCACAGCTGTTAACTGCACCAGAGTACAAGCTCCCAGAGGCATGTAGCTGTCTCACTGATACACAGGCTTTGCTCTTACAGAGTTGCTCCTCTGTAGTGTGCTTAAAAGATCAAGGCCTAGGGGCTGAAGAGATGGCTAAGACCACTGGCTACTCTTCCAGAGAACCCGGGTTCAATTCCCAGCACCAACATGACACTAACAACTGTCTAACTCCAGTTCCATGGGATTCCTTTCACAGACACACAGGCAGGAGGGACACCAATGCACACAAAATAAATCTTAAAAAAACAAAATCAAGGCTTAGCTGGGCGGTGGTGGCACACACACGCCTTTAATCCCAGCATTCAGGAGGCAGAGGCAAGAGAATCTCCAAGTTTGAGGCCAGCCTGGTCTACAGAGTAAGTTCCAGGACAGCCAGGGCTACACAGAGAAACCCTGTCTTGAAAAACAAAAAAAACAAAAAACAAAAAAAAAATCAAGACCAGGTTTTTAGCTGGAATGGTGATGCCTTATATAATAACACTGAGAGGCAGAGATGGGAGGAGAGAACTGTCCCGAGTTTGAGGATCAGCCTGGTCTACAAAGCAAGTTCCTTGCCAGCCAGGCTACCTAACAACTGTCTCAAAAACAGCAAACAAATACAAACTGTCAATCCTAGACCTTCAACTCGATGACGTCAGAGGCACTTCTAACCTCCCTGAGGTCTGGGCTCCTCACTGTGAAAGGAAGAAACGCCATCCTGCAGCACCCAGATATGTGCCCACCTCACTCACACAACAACATGTAAGCACACATCTGCCCGTCTGCAGAGACGGGGTTTTAATAGAAATACTAGCACTAAGTGGCAGGGAACATTGTTCTGCATGGGCCCAGACAGCACCAGAGGAAGTAAGGATTGCTCAGGCAGTTTCGTGAGCAAACAGGGTGCCACAGTGTCTCAGGCTCAACTCTCTCACCACGTGGTACACTTTTCTCACTAGAACCTGGTGTACGCCTCCTGGTACGTGCCTGTCTCACTCCCAGGGCATGCTGGCTAGTGGTTCCATAAACTTCTGGCAGAATGACAATGAATGCTTCCATCTTGATGCTGATGTCACTGAAACCAAGTCCCAAACTGGAGATAAGAGCATGCAAATGTGCAATTTCCGGTGACACGAGTGCCATGGACTGTGTCAGCCACAGCTGAACAGCTAGGAGAATGGGAAAGTGGACGGGAGGGCAGGGAGCTCATCTGAGGAGTAAGGGACACTGAGGACAAAGGACAGCACAGAGGAGCCCTGGACGGCAGTCAGGGCAAGCGAAATGCCAACCAGGAAACCTGGTTGAACCTTCTGGGCTCCAAGTTGACGACAGAGAAAAGCCCAAACATCCCCGAGGTGGAGGGAATGCCTAACGAAAGCAAGGTTCTGGAGAGAGGGCAGAGGGTAGAGGCACAGGGAGACAGGTAGGTTACAGGGAGCAGGGCATGCCTGAGGGAGTGAGGTAGCTGTTCTGAACCCAAAGCCTGCCTTATTCAGGGACTCCACGGGCAGATGAGTGGACAAAGAGAAGGCCACTGGCCATCTCCTGGGCTCAAAGGAACAACTTAGAAGCAAAGTTCATAAAGCTCCGTTTACTTTATTTTTGGTTGAAACAAGGTCTTAGGCTTAGTCCTAGCTGGCCTGGAACTTAAGAGTAATCCTCCTGCCTCTGTTTTCCAAGTATTGGCTGTGAAGTTGTTTATGATGCCAGCTTAGTGAGGTCTCTGGCCCACAGAGTCACTAAAAGTGCAGCCAACCACTTCTGGCTGCCATAGACCCTGCCCTGAGAGCATTTCACTGACACACACACTCGCCTGAGTGAAGGAAGGAAGCTTCTTCCCAGAGGCCAGGTGCTCTAGGAGACTCTTTGGGGATCATCCCCAAACGCATGAGGCACAGCACCCTCACGGCACCATGGATCGTCCAGGCCCAGGCTCAGTCTTCTGGGTGTCAGACAGCTGTGACTCTCTGCACCTGTCCCCTCCCTCCCGAGGAATGACCTCCTGACCTTGCAGTCAATGTCCAGTACACTTCCACCTCCCTTCCCACCCAGAACCCTTGGGCCTGCACTTTTTTTTTTTCGAGACAGGGTTTCTCTGCGTAGCCTTGGCTGTCTTGGAACTCACTCTATAGACCAGGCTGACCTTGAACTCAGAGATCCCCCTGCCTCTGCCTTCTGAGTACTGGGATAAAGGTACATGCCATTCCTACCACCTCCTCCTGGATTTGGGTCAGTATTTCAACAAAGGACTAATAACTGCAATTCACAATCCGGGATATAGGGTCAGATTCCCTAAGTTTTATTAATGCCTCATTCCCCAAGTTTATCCACATGTCTTCCCGGAAGTGTGTTGTTACAGCACCATCATTCTTTCCATGGGAAGGCAGCAGCACAGCTTTCTGTGCATTTGCTTTGTGAGAGAGGGTTTTACTATGTAGCTATGTAGCTTTAGCTGACCTCAGATTTGTAATCCTCCTGCTTTAGCCTCCTGAGTGCTGGGATTACATGGGAGCAGCACCATGCCCAGTCTTCCACCATATTTCTATAGGAATATGTTGTTATCCCATTTGCCCTAGACAACTTTCTCCTTTGATGCCCCACCCATTCTGGCTAGCCCACAGCTCCTGCGCTTTCCCTGCCGACAGACCATGTTGACGGGTCTCCCATTCAGACTCATTCTTCAGCTTAGCTGGATCCCCTCAGCTACATGGCTCTTGACTCATACCCACAGACGTCTATCTGAACCTTCCAGGATAGTGCTCCATATTCTTCTAGTGCTTTCAAGATTTTGGTCCAGTCATTAACTAATCAAGTCATCATCTGATGTGGCCTCAAGTTCCCTCTCTGGACATCAATGTTCTCTCACAGTGGCAGCCATTCACAGTCCCTAGACTTGTTTGGAAACTTCCAGAAGCAGACCCTGAAACCACCAGTTCATCTGGAAGGTACAGGGAACAGGGAGGGGAGGCAGCCAGCAAAGGGTGTATTGACAAGTGACCTCACAGAGCCTGAGCAGGTAGAACTGAGACACTGCATTCTGCCCCTACAGACACTGAGGAAATGCTGTCCTGAGGAGAGGGATTCTCCAGTACCTCAGAGGTCCTCTGAGCAGGAAGATGTCAGTGGAGATGAGGGTGACCCATCCACTGCACAGTGTGTCCATCCAGTGGAGATGGGTTGTCTCAGAGACCTACCTGAAGTCCAAGTGAGAATCAGGTATGGGAGCAGACGAAGAATGGCACCCTACAGGTGTGCACAGATACACCAGTGTTCATGAAACCCAGATGCCCTGAACAAATAAAGGCCCCTGACTAGATGGGGACAGTGGTAGGTAGCCTTCTAACATGGCCCCCAATGAGCCACACCTTCTGGAGCTCAAGACCCTGTGCCACCCCCTTAAGAGGATGCTAGATCTACTGATTTATTTCTGAAGGGGATACAGCCAAAATGATGCCATCTTTGAATTTAGGTTACTGACCCTATACAAATTCCCCATCTTTTGGTACCAACACCTGGTGAAACAATATGTCACGGTAGCCATTCTGGAAAGGATTCGGCCAACACTCAGAAAGCAACTAAGAGGCCTTCGAGAACTCTGCAGCCAGTCAGCCACGTGAGTGAGTGTGGAAGCAGATTCCCCGAGTTGAAGTCTAAGATGCCTGAAGCCTGGGCTGACGCTGGACTGCAGTGTTGTAAAAGACCCTGAACTGAATACCTAGATAAGAGAACCAAGGTCAGGACAGCTAAGGGATGAGTCTAAGGTCACACTGATGATAGGGAGCTGATTGAGATTAAAGCCCCAGCTGTCTGAGCCCAAGCTTATTTCCTCCTCTACAGCCCACCTGCTCAGGTGACGTCATACAATCTTGACAAGGGAGAAAAGTCCATAAGCAGTATGGGAGAAGAGTTGGGCTCCTGGGGACCAATGGTTTCTCTGGCCACCGCTGTTCATAGCATGAGGTCTCTGCCCAGATCTCTGTGTCGTCTTGGGCAGCCACCACAAACTCTACAATGCTAGCCTTGAATAAGCCTGTAAGCCTCTGAGATCCTGCCAGACTGGTCTGTCCAAGGAAGGGCCTGGTGAGGACTGGGGTAAAGCAGTTAAGTTCAGATGACCAAGAAAGATGCTACAGGGTAGGCGTTCAAGTGCTGGAGTCCTCAGGGTTCTTCTCTTTTAAAACCCACTTTCTATTTTAAATTTAGTTCTTCCTTCATAAGTAAATAGCGCTACTTAGATTCAAACTCTAGCGCCACCATCCCTGGCTGTGTGCTATGGGTGAAGGTCTATGGGTTCTCCAAGACTCAAGGTCTTCCTTACTGCTTAGGGAAATGGGGATAAACCACCCAGCTAAATTGGGTCACAGTGAAGGCCAACCAAAATAACTGATGTGAATCAAATCCAACAAAGCATCAGAATGAAAACATTACTCCCTGGAATTATGTAAACTGGATTTGGCATCCCAGGCAGTATCAACTCAGTCTACTAGTTCCATTAAGATTAATTTATTAATTACTTAAGATTGATTTCTTTGCCACCATTTTCACTGTCATGCTTTTTAAAAAGTAAACAGTGTTTAAGAGTATGAATGCTTTGTCTGCATGTAGGTGTGTGTACCACATATATGCTTAATGCTCTTGGAGGTCAGAAGAGGGCATCTGATCCTCTGGAACTGGAGTTC